AGCCTGGTTTCTTGCTTTTCATGTTTTTTCCTCAATAGTTGAGTCCAAGGAAAAGTGTATATCTCTTAGGCTTTATTAATATGTAGCAAAAACGGGTATAAGATTCCTTTTGCTTAAACATAGTTATTTTTTAAAATTAATTCTTGGATGGGATTTGACAATTATAATTGTCATTTTATGTTATGATATCAAACTTAGAAATATAACTTATTAATCTAATATAACCTAATAATTGATTCCAATTAATAAGGTTTTCATACATTTAAATCATCAAAATCAATCCTTTTTTTTTTATGAAAAATATTTAACAACTCACCCTAATATTTGGATTTTAAAACTCTTTCCCAAATCAATACTCAACACCATTTCATCTTATTTATTTACATATACAGTAAAGCTCTATAAATTCATACTTTTAAAATCATGAAAATTAATTATTTGGTTATTTAAAATTTAAAATTAAATTGATACCGAATAAAAATATTATATAATTAAGGTCATTAATGTTTCAATGTAAGAATACAAAAATTAAAAAAAAATAAACAATTACTTGCTAGATTTAATACAAAAATTAAAAAAAATAAACAATTACTTGCTAGATTTATTTTTTTGACAAATCATACCTTGCAATCCCCACATACCCTAATCATCCCTACTCCTTAGATTTGTAGCTTGCTGAAATATCATAATATAAAATTCAGGAGATTTATGTTAATTCCAATTTGGTATAGCACCAAGAAAAAAAAAATCCTGCAAATTGTTCCCTTCTCAACCATCCAAAGCATGGATCATAGAGCTAGAGACTGAGCAAATCAGAGGCGAGACAGATGGCTAACCATGCAGCCTCCCGGCTAGTGATTGATCACTGATGAAGCTGAGTTGTTAAGCCGCCATTTTCAAAAGGGGACAAGTCCAGTCAAAGCTTGTGGCTTTGACCAAAAAACATTTTCCACAGTCAAACTTCGCTTCTAGCTTCTCAGAAGAAGCATAGAGAGAGGCCCCCGTGCATCAAACCTCACGAAAAACATTAGCATCCAACCCTTTATATATTCCCTTACAAAACTCATTAACCTCTCTAAGACTTTCAAACTTCATGGCATCTTCAGCTTCTGCGAGCATATCAAATTCTATGAATTCTCCATCTAACTTTTCTTTCTCGACCCAGTTCATGACTTCTTCTTCCTCTCCTTCTTCTTTTACTAATCTTCTTTCCAGTAATAACAAAGACATGGACAGCCTTGGCTGGGGACTTTATGAGCATGGAACGAATGATAGAATTGGTATTGAAATCCCAAACTATAAGTCATTCCAACCTTTTTCTCCTCCCCCAGTTTCTCCTTCTTCTTACTTTGCCATTCCTCCTGGTTTAAGCCCAACTGAGCTCTTGGACTCACCTGTGCTTTTCCCTACTTCTAATGTAAGTTCATGGACTGAGTAGTGCTTGTATGGACATGCTTTTTTATGATGTTAAATGGGTTTTTTTTTTTTTAGTTTCTTATTTATGTCATGTTTTTTCAGGGTCTTGCATCTCCTACAACTGGGGCTTTTGCTGGTCAAACCTTCAACTGGAGGGGTAATTCTAATGACAATCAGCAAGGTGTTAGTGGAGAAGAGAAAAACTACAGTGATTTCTCTTTCCCAACCCAGACAAGGCCTCCTGCAATTTCATCATCCTTCTTTCAATCATCTTCAAGCAGTGTTACAGTGGTACTTTTCTTTACATATTTTACTACAGTTTTATATTGTATAAGTTTGTAGCTTTTGAAAAGTCAAGACTGTTCCCCATTTGACCCTTTGAATTTTCGTTGATAATTTATGATGCAATTGTAAAATTCAAGATAACTATACTGATTTTGTAACAAATAAATGGAAAAACTGGACTGGTTTCTGTAAAATTCACATCACTTCTTAGGATCCTGAGAAATTGTAGTCTAGTTCAAGTCTAGAATTGTTTCCATAACCTGCTGTGGTTCCACTTGACAGGAGAAATCCCTGAAAAGGAAACAAGAGGAATGGAACTTTGACCAATTAAAGCAAACTGACTTTTCATCAGATCAGAAAACAGGAGTAAAATCAGAATTTGCACCAGAGCAGAGTTTCTCCTCGGAGTTGGTGCCACTCCAAGCTAACATGCAAAGTGTTAACACTGCTGCTCAACCAAGTTTCAACCAATACAATCAGTCAGCTCATTATATGAGAGAGAATAAAAAGTCTGATGATGGATACAACTGGAGAAAATATGGACAAAAGCAAGTGAAAGGGAGCGAAAATCCTAGGAGTTATTACAAGTGCACATATCCGAATTGCCCAACAAAGAAAAAGGTGGAGAGATCTTTGGATGGACAGATTACTGAAATAGTTTATAAAGGAAGTCACAACCATCCCAAGCTTCAATCCAGCAGAAGATCATCCTCTCAGTTAGTTCAGCCTTCTGGAGGTGCCAGCTCAGAAATCACTGATCAATCAGTAGCACCAATAGAGTCTAGCATGATGCAGGAGGACTCTTCGATTTCGCTTGGGGAGGATGAATTTGACCAAAGTTCATCAATGAATTCAGGAGAAGAGGACAATGCAAATGAACCCGATGCCAAAAGATGGTAAGCCAAGACAAGATTGTCTCTCATGGCCTTACCCCATGTTTTTGTACTGAAATTGCATAAGCTTAATTAAATATGTTCTTTTGTAATTTTGCAGGCAAGGACAGAATGAAAACGAGAGTATTTTAGGTGCTGGGAGCAGGACTGTTAGAGAACCTAGAATCGTGGTTCAAACAACAAGTGACATTGACATACTTGATGATGGCTATAGGTGGCGAAAATATGGGCAGAAAGTCGTCAAGGGAAACCCGAATCCAAGGTAACTAGTGATTTCCCTTCATCATAATTTTGGCCTAAAAGGATCATTCTTGTCATTGAAGGTGGTTATCCGCTTGGTTTCTTAATAGTCACAATCTTGTGATTTGCAGGAGCTACTACAAATGCACGTCTGTTGGTTGTCCTGTGAGGAAACATGTAGAGCGAGCATCACAGGATTTGAGAGCTGTGATTACAACTTACGAAGGAAAACACAACCATGATGTTCCAGCCGCCCGCGGCAGTGGCTACATGAACAAAGCTCCATCCATTGCTAGCAGTACTGCCAATGCGCCGATCCCTATAAGGCCTTCTGTCATGGCCAATCATTCTAACCAGACAAGTTATCCAAACTCCCTTCACAGCACAAGATCATTACCAGCATCAGGAAGTCAAGCACCATTCACCCTCGAAATGTTACAGAGTCA